CCTTTTATAAGCGATGAAGTAAGCGCAGCTATAAAACGATGCTTAAGAAGGGCAGGTCTAGAGGGATCGGTAGCGATAGTTGAAATACCACCGACTACTCCACGTCGCCAATTAGTTCGCAACCGCCTGTATGACCGTCTGTGTGAAACAACAAATTGCGTAATTTGCCCTTACGGCAGGGACGGTGATTGCATGCGTTCAAGTACGATATAGCTGATCTCTTGAAACAATTACGGAGATGAATATATTGGCGAAACGGGCAGACCTTTGTGTATCCGTATAAAAGAACACCTAGATGGCAAACGAAAACTAAGACGAAGCACCCCACTGGGCACGCATAGGATACAAAAGCATAGTGGAGACGATTTTGAAGTAAAAGTCAATATCCTTGCACAGGAGTCCAAAACACCAGCGCGAAGACTCCTAGAGGCTTTTTGGATCAATGCCAAAAACNTATACTTGATCTCTTGTAATAATTGCAGAAATGAATATATTGGCGAAACGGGCAGACCTTTGTGTATCCGTATAAAAGAACACCTAGATGGCAAACGAAAACTAAGACGAAGCACCCCACTGGGCACGCATAGGATACAAAAGCATAGTGGAGACGATTTTGAAGTAAAAGTCAATATCCTTGCACAGGAGTCCAAAACACCAGCGCGAAGACTCCTAGAGGTTTTTTGGATCAATGCCAAAAACCTTACAATGAATAGCAGGGACGAATGCCCGGAGGTCGTACGCGACCTGATCCCGTACGTTCGCATCGATTTTTGATGTGGGATGGCGCAGTCGTCAACCACATGCGACTATAATCAGCTGTTCTAAACTTCCTCACTGGAAGTCACGTAGAAAGCGGTGAGTTTTTCGAGAAGTTGTTGATCATGTAATTACCAAAGAGTCTTTCGTCTTTGTGTAAGTGTTATTGAAGCGTTTGGCCTAGTAGATTGTATATCAGTATACCCTTCCAGGCTCTGAAGAGGGCGATACTGCCGAAACGTCAGCTAGCGTTGTATTGTATTGTGTTTCTCTATGGAAGTAAATGTATGCTGTTTAAAAACCTCGCGATTGCTGAACAAGAAAACGACACATTCATATTCCAATGCCGAGGTTAAGAGAAAGTCGATCCTGGGATCTAGATATTAACTTAAATATGTAAGATATCTGAGTATTTTAGAAAGGTGAGATATTTTTCTGAAGCCTCTACTTTGGATCTTTGCCGGTTGTACGGTCAGCTTTTGTCATAGCCCTCTTTAAAGAAGACGTACAACCTGCACCTTGATTAAGGTCCTAGAATAGGTCTTTTCTTAAGTCGGTTGCCTCGTCGAGAGTTCTGGAGGCGATTTTTGCTGCTCACGTTAAATTCCTCTTTAACTCATAATCCATGTTCACTGAGCTTCCTTTTCAGTAGAATCAAGCAATCATACTTGCAGTACTTGGACTTTGAGTACACAAATGAGATACTCTCAGATCGGTTGATTAATTTGGTAACACTTCTCTTTCATTATCGTTGTAGACTATGCTTCAGCATTTGCTGCAACTGATGTTTACCACCAGACTTAGGCGCACAGTCAACCTGGTTTGATCTTCGCTTTACCTCATTGCGCGATAGAAGTTTTTTTCTTTCTTTTGTGAGGGAACTTTTCTATGCCTTGAAATAGTTAAAAAATGAAACCATGTTGTAAGTGAAAAAGGTAAACTTTTACGAACTAAAACCGTAAAGGTATTTCCGTTTAGATCCAAATGAACAAGGTTCGCGAAGGAACATTCTTGCCGCAGATTCCAGGGAGCTTTCCATCGGCCGCTTTGCTTGCTATGAAGCCAACAAGTGGCGTTAAGAGAAACAATGCTGTAGCTAATGCTGGTGGGTTGGCAGTACTTACTTCTATATGATAGGTAGTCACTTCTTGCCTCCGTATTTCTATTGTGTTTAATCGTGAAAATGGAAGAAAAAAATTGGAATGTTTGTAAAAACAACCGAAGAAGCTGCCGTTACCACACTGCCATGCTAGCATTTGACTAGTACTGAATAACAACAACGATTCCTTTGTTGGTGCGTATCACAATGAACATTGCCCTAAAAGTATTAATGTGTTGCACAGTTTCTGTCAGGCTTAGACAATATTATGCCTACGCAACTACCAAAACTAACAAGCCTTGAGGTTATTAAGCCACGGGTTTCCTCATCACTCGCTTTTCTTTTTAACTAGTACGAAGAGACTAGTGAGGGATTGATTTCGTTGGCAATAATTCGCGGTGCCTAATAGGAAATAGAAATATAAAAAAATCAAGTCGCAATAAAACGTAAACGTTGAACAGTAACCATAAAGTGGTTTCCCTAGCATATCGCGACAAGAGTTCATTTGACCAATGGGCCTTGGTTGATTACTTTGATCGCTAGAACTGGACTATGGACACGATGAAGCCACACAAATTTTTCTAGTTGGTGGTGCTACAGTCCATATGCCTGATCTTTGATGTCATCGAAATGCTCGAAAAAATCGCAATAGGTTTGTGAGAACAGTGCGAATGCAGATTAGTGCATCGTTTCGCATTCCCATTCCTTGAACTTGTTGATTATGAGCCCAGAAGCGAACCATTTCAACTAGATGATCAGAGAAGCACGTATTGTGGTGCTTCTTTTGTGTTGTTGACTGCTAGATGATAGTTCTACGCTGTAACTAATTTGTCAAGATTGAAGAAGTTATACAATCGATAGCTTCGTCAACCAAGCGGAAGACAATCACCGGATTCTATTTCTCAAGTTTTAGGAGTGATTAATTCTGAAACTTGAATGTTCTTCGGTTCTTCACCTTTTTTTGAGCATGTGCAGGACATCATCAATGGTCGTGAATATTCCATCCTTAGCTTTTTATCACATTTCGACCAACCGATTGTTTTGCTGAAATGTAGCAGAATACCCATTCATAACACCGATAATTTTGCTTTCCACTCAACTCACTCACACCTGTCTTTGATGTCTATTTGTCGAGTTTTAGGCTTTCTCATTCGATCGAAATCCTTCAAAGTCGACATCTCCCATGCACCGCTTTTTCTTTAGATTTACCCACTGTGGCATGTCTGTTTCAGCAGGCCTCATCAAATGATCACCGTCAGTGCAAGCAAGTCACCGGCGATCCATCTACTCTTCAGTGCTTCATCTGCATGTTGAAACTTCTAGAAGCATCGTTGCATAATGTGTTCGGTAGTGGTTGCCTAGTCAAACGCAACATTGACGTTATGAGTGTTTCCTCTTGCATTGCGGCTAAGGTTGAATCCTTGCTTAAGGAATAGCTTGTACTTGGTGTTTTAATTTCTATTTTAATGAGCTGGACAGAGGACAACCAATGCAAAGATAGAAAGATCGTTCTGAAAATTTTGAGCGGAATTGTGGCTTTTAAAATGCCGTGTAACTTCTTTGTAAATGGCTTAAACTGTTTCAAAATAAATAGTCGAAGTTAAAAAAGAGAAGAGTGAATTTAATTTTGGTATTAATCCCGTTGTCATTATGTTGTCTTTCTGCTTTTATGCTTCAGTGCTCTATTGGAATAGCGCTCAATCAATCGGATGAGGCTTTCTCAAAGCAGATTATTTCGAAGCTGGTCCTATCCGTCCTACTGCCAACCGAAATGAACTTGAAATTCCAAAACTACCCACCGCAGAACATTTGCTCATATTCTCAAAATATTTCGTTTTTAAATTACTTCAACACTTATTACGAATTGTTTAGAGGATGGTGTATTCAGTCGGCCAATAGGCCAATGCTGAAAGAAGTTGAGTCTTGTTTCTCTTTATATTTAATATAGACTTCTATGATGCTGAGATATTTGCAAAACTCCGGACCGCAGGTGTCTACGGTAGGAAACGAACGCGCTATTGTCCGTTCCGGGGAGTAACGCTTTCACCACAACACCATGCGGGTCCTTCGTTTCGTCTGTCTCCTAGCTAGTTCTATCTATCTTTAGGTAATAAATAAAGAGGTTAAGATTGTGATTATAACTATAGTCTCAGCTTAACTGGGTTCAATGCTGATTTGTGCTCTCCAGATCAATCCCGTTGGCGGGTGATTGCTGATGGCCAAAAGATCGATAGAACCTAGCTGAGAGACAGGCGAAACGAAAGACCCGCGTGGTGTGGTGGTGAAGTGCGCTGCTCCCCGGCAAGGACAACAGCGCGTGTTCGTTCCTCACCGCAGACACCTGCGGTTTGGAGTTTTGCAAATATCTCAGCATTATAAAAGTAATATTTCGCAACATACCCTGCCGTTAAAAAGAATAGGCAGTGAATAAAAAGGTTAAGATTAATATAGGCTGTTAAAAAATCTATTTGTTGTGACGGAATTTCAGAGATCAATGAGCAAACAGCTTGTAATGTTTTGCTTTGTTTCAGAAGGCGGTAATACAGCTCATAAAAAATCGGATGTGAATAGCAAAGAGTCCGTGGTAATTATGCCATCGTACAACGAGAGCCTAAACTCTTGGCAAGCCACCTATCCGCATTTGTTGTGCACCACGAGGCAGAAGGTGATTATTTAAAGTCTTTAACAGTCATTGATAAAATACCGAAATGTAATTCTTTCCGTTACAATGCCCTCGATCAGGTACTTGACAATTTACGAGATTCTCCTCTCGTTGCTGGAAGAAACCTTGTGGCAAGATGGGAAAGTTCCTTCCAATTCATACGGTGGCGACTGCCTGTGAAGTCTTAAAAACCTTCTAACACGGCTGTCTTGGAATCACATGCAAATCGTTTTCGACCAGCATTTAACATAGCATTGAGGGGAGAGGGCAGCGGATTGTCGAATTGCAGCCGGTCGTACTCGGGAAGTCAGCCCTCATTATGAGGCAGTAAAATTAAGAATCTGGAGGTCGGTTCGACATGGGAGCGTGGGTCATAGAATTGCTTAAGAAATAGATAAACTATAAAACAAAATTTTATCAAATACATGCATGTTAGGTAGTGGCACGTAAGACTCAGTGGTTGGAGGCTCCCTGCAACACACACCGGGGATCGATCACTCGTCCGTGGCTCACCAAGCCTTTCATCCCTTCGGGGTCGGCAAATCGGGACCAGACTTGTCTAGGAGGATAGCAGCATTGGCTCAATACATCGGCAGGCCACCGCGAGTCATTGTAAAGGCCAGTATGCAGTCAATCACCTCCAACGATACTTAATGAAGTCGAATGCATGGCACATCCGCCGAGATCAACGCCGAGAGCTTTATCCTTTTCATGTTATGCATGGTGGGAGTATGCTTCTTGGCATTCTTTACAAACTCATAGAGTTTTTTGAGGAAAATAAACACCATGTAATCATCCATGCGTGATTCATTGATATCTCCATTGAACACAACGCCCGAGTTGCACTACACACAACTTATTGGGTACGGAAATAATGGCCACGCTGAGATTTAAACAAACATTATTTCGTTAACATTGAACTTTATTAATTGGAATAAACGGTATTGTAATACACAGATATTTCCCTGCAAGGCACATCTTTTTTATTCTGCCAAAATGAAACCTTGCTTTTTATAGCCCTCAATGCTTGTTTGTTCCACCTTTCTGCCACATGGCTGGTATTTGGAACGCAAAAGAAAATGAACATGCGGCATTTAGTCCACTAGAACACGATGATGTTTTCCAGTATATCACTGGTGTTTGTACTTCTGCTTTGTGCTGGAAATTTTAAGGATTTCTTCCATCAACTCTTCGACAAATTTAATCCCAAACATCCCAAACATATCTAAATTTCGAAGGACACTATGTAAAAATTATATATCCCATTAAAACGTTAGAGCAAAGTCACGCATACCAATTTGTGAAGATAGCTAATAGCCTAGCATCGTCCTTTCGAAATCGGCACTTTCGTTTCTATAACGTTGAGTGATCTTTCATTCTGCTTACGCAGCGACCAGGTTTCTTACGCATACGTTAGGGCAGGAAGTACCGTTGAGTGGAAAAGGTGGGCATGGAGTCGGGTGTTCTTTGTTTTCTTCACTACATGCTCTTGAAAGCTCCCCAAGCCGTTTGTTTCCTTCTGCTCAGCTCTGGAGCCAAGTCATTCATCATTTGACTTCCCTACCGGTAGATGTATTTGGAGCATGTGGAGATACTCGTTCCGTTGAGCGTGAATGGGGCGTACGAAACCAACTCATTCTTCATAAACATCGTTTTAGTGATACTTCATTGACGACCAATCTTCCCATAGACGTTGTCAAAGACGGCGAGCATTCGTTCCTCTTGGCTAATTCTTGACGTTATAAGAAAGGTGTCGTCAACAAAGCGAAAATGGTGTAATTGCCCACCGTCGATTTTCGATCCTATGCTATCCTATTCCAATTTTCGCGTGACCTTCTCGATCGTGAGGGTAAATAATTTTGGCGAAATGGCATCGCCTTGTCTAACAGTTCTTTTGACGTCGAACTTGATGCTATTATAAAGTGGCGATATTTTGATCGTGAAGTTTTTATATAGCTCACGAAAAGGGAATGCGAAGAGTCTCCCGCATCGCGCAAGTGAGGGAGGAGAACCGAATCTCCGATCTCAAAGACGTTGTTCTGTAGAACTGTTTCTCCATTTTGTCGAAAATAAGGTTAGCCATACACGTGATGCGTATGAACGGCAACAAACGGATAAGAGCTGTTAATAACTTGGATTCCTGGAGATGTCAAACACGCAGCAGGGAAACCACCGAAGAAAGATGTAATACTCAACAAGCCTTATAGCAAGCAAAGCCCACTGCTCTTCTCTTGCTCACGACGGGATAAAATGGAGGATTTGCTGATGTTCGCTCTTGTAAATCGGCGATCAACGGGAAGACAGGTGATGCCAGTTACCGAGTTGCTCTAGTGTTCGATATGTTGTCGTCATTTATCCAGAAATGCGTCTTTGTCGCTATGCGTTAAATATCTCGAGTTTGCATGTTATGTGGAACTATCACTTCTTTCATTCGGTTCATTTCTTTGCATTCGTTATCTGCGAATGTTTATGCAGTTAGACTCGGATTCCAGTTGAGAGTTTGGCCTTCTTCATAAACGTCGTTGAATACTGGTCGAGTTGTTTTTCCCTGCAATGGTGAGATAACTCTACGACAGCATAACCAGGTCTTCATAGGCAGTTGTAGATCGAAAGAGGCCTGGTGCCAACATGCCGACTCCAAAAAGATCGGGACTTTGCTCAAATATCTAACCAGCAGTAGTGTGCGTTTTTCATGATATCTCCCTCTGCTTTCCGCGTTATTCATGCCTTATTATGACAAGCATTAATATACAAAAAACTATCTGCTATTGCCAAATCACAATCCGTAAGCTGAATTGCAAGTTTGCATTTCAGTGGAACATTTGGTTTCTAGTAAATAGAACACAAAATGGTCTTACCAAACCGACTTTCTATTAACCTCGGCATTGATTGATAACAAATTAGAACAAAGTAGTCTACTCATGGCCTTTCCTTCCCAGAATTTAGATATATTAACCGTAGCATTCATCAAGAATGCTCGAACCTAATGAACGAAAACAAAATCTGTCCGTGCATAATATTATGGTAATATGTTGAATAAAAGTCCCGAGAACGAGTAATATGTCGATTGTATAGGTTTCCAAGGTGCACGTCGTCTTTTATTCAGTTTCGGTTTTTTTTTTCACATCTATGGTGATCTTAGATAGTCATTGATTTTACTCACTTACATTGGTTTTGTATGTTTGAGGATACCGTATTGCTGGACAGCCGTGCAGGCCAGATCGGCAAAAGACCTGTGTTCTACTTCTACATCCGTGCGACAACATTCTCACCATCCGGAGGTCTGTCTTATGCGCGCTCCCTTTCGTTGCCGTTTACGATCGCCACCAGACGGAATCAGGTCAGCCAATGAATATAGTTCTAAAAATTAGCCATGTTTAGATGGAAACAGAAAAAGGACACTGCGTCTCTAATTCTTTAGTTTTTGGTGCAGTCCAAATACAGACAAATTCAAGCATCAATAAAGACAAGTTAATGATAGCATTTCTGCGATAAACTGTGAAAGATGAGCAACATATAGATAAAAAAAAAATCACCTGTGCTTTGGATGGGATTCGTTATTCTTCTTTAAATCTAGGATTGCCAAGTTCAACGGATGATGAGCTCGTATACTGCGACGTGCTTTTGGCTTTACGGCACCAGCACATTGGACGGTCTAATATTGAACTGGAGCGATAATGGCAAGTGTTTTTCTTCATAGTTTTCTCTTCGAGTTCTTGTTTGACTAGTTGAAATAGCAAGCGTTTTATGTCGTTTGAGGAACCGGATAATTAATTGAAACCGTGCACTATACAATTTTTCGCATCTCTTCAACTGGAACCGAATCGTGCCAACGAAAAAGAGACTTTTTCGCATTCAGGTATCAAATGGTCACATTTCAAGCAACTCTATCAGACGTACTTCACTGTGAACGCGGAGGTGAAACGATCGCTGAGCGACATCGACTTTCAACTGATGAAAGAGAAGATGGAGTGTGACGACTGTCGTGAGCACGCCACTGCTAGCGGTAAGTTCCACAAAAGCTTTAGTCAGGAGAACGATTCCGTCCTTATAGAGTAAACGACGCACTAATTTTCCTTTCTTCCACAAGAGAATCCGTGCATTTTGAAGCACTTTATGGAATTCCACAGCTGCTGAGAAATATGGCTAACAAAAAAGGTCGTGTTTTTCACATTTTCAGGAGAGGAACCGTTGCTAACATTCAAAAATGTTCTGTGTCCTCATTTGCGGTATGATTGTGACCAGAATGTGCTTCGGTTTTCGATTTGGAGAGGTACGTCTTTTGTTCTCGGTTCAGACCATTACTTCAAACTTTCGAAAAAATGCTACTCATGAATAAAAATTTTAGGTAATCTGGAAGTGCTGCAAATTTTCCAAGATGCTCGAACAAATGTGAAGCAGCTGTGGGATGACTTCATTCTTCATGGTTTGACAGATATCGATGATGTTTGTGTAGACTCGTAATTGCCGCTCTTTCTTTATTTTTTGAATAGTGATACGCTCGGCCAATGTGAGATGGAGTGACGAGTATTGAAATTAATCAATTAGGAAGGAAGCATTTAGGAAGAAAGTGTGTGAAACATGATTGATTATATCAAAATCTTAAGGGAAGCTTGTTTGTGCTTAAGAGAAGGTGCCAAGAGAATTGTTTGAGTCTCAGATAAATTAGGAAAATTAGACTATACAATCAATACCTGTATTCTTTAATTGTCAACACACAAATTGATTATTTATTCGTAGTCAAGTCTACATTGCATTTTAAATTAAACTGCGATGAACTGTTTTTTAATGTTCAGATTAATGAAATGCTTTCGGCTCAACCATCGTCTGTTATGTTCCTTAGGATATCCTATATTGCCGGAGGTTTGTCTTTTGCTTTCTCTTAGCCCTCAATTTTCCCTATACAAGTGGAGAAAGCAACAAAAGATGAGCAAAGCGTCTAGATAGACAAAATTATGATTTATTACTTCGAATGAAGTAAGGTTAAGTTAGCATGTCGAGAAAACGAGTGGGCTATTGCTGAGAGTTCGTTCATCCGCATCTGAGGCCAGATGGACTCTGTATTCACTGAAACCTTGGCCTATCATCAAATATTGTAGAATCATGTTTATGATTCCAGGGAGCATCTGTATTTCTACACGAGGGGAGCGCGGGATCATCCATCTGGAGCCCATAGAACTGAAAAAGCTGCAGGCAAAGAGTGTATTCGAGTATATGGCTGACATTGCCGAGTCAGAGAGGGTACTCAACATTTTTTTTACAATGGAATAGTTACGGCATTGATACTTGATACTTGATACTTGAACGACCCGTCCTCACTAGTTGTGCTGGCCCTATCATAAGCACCATTTTTCGGAGATCTGCTGGTTACGCCATTGTGGTTTTCTGGAATGCCGAGGATATCCTGGTCAAAGTCTGCCCCACGTCGTCACCACGACAGGTAGTCGCAGCCATTGTGAATCAGAGGGAGATTTACCACCATGCGACTTTGATACCAAAACGGTGGTGGGTCCTGGTATTGGTTTACTCTTAGCTAAGCTTCCAGATAGAGAAGCGGGACTTCTTCTCAGCTTGGAAAACCCCGCTAGGGGGATGAATCCCCTGCTGTTGATCGCAGTCCGTCACCCAGGAACACAGCCACGATGAGGCGGTGTACCGTTGGGAGGGTTACGGGCATTAGAAGGCTTAAAGTAAAAACGGTTATAGTCGGGTCAGAAAGTCATTTTTCTTATGAACAGATCGAGTACGTGCTGACCGCCGAGCATTTGTTGGTGCCCGTGGCGCAATTGGTGGAGAAGTACAAAATTGGCACCGATTTACATCGTGTTCGCAGCGTTCAGTCGAATATCACTCATTCTGGATCACTCGAAAACACATGCGAAATGAGGTTCATTTCTGAATTTTCTAGATTATTGTATATTGGAGCCGTCGTAGTTGGTTTACACAAGCTATCTAAGGATGTTGGTAATTATGTAAAACTAAGCGTAAAAGGATAAGGAATAAAGCTCTTGGCGTTGATCAATCCCTGAGGGATGCGCCACGCATTCGACTTCATTAAGCATCGTTTGAAGGTAATTGAATGCATATCTGGCTTTTGCAATGACTCGTGGCGACCTACCGATGTATCGAGCCGGTGCTGCCTTCCAGACAAGTTTGGTATCAATTTACCGACCCCTGAGAGATGAAAGTCTTAGTGGCCCATGGGCGCGGAGATCGATTCCACGTGCGTGTTGCATGGCGCCTCCCACCATTGCGCCACACTCCACTCGTCCTTTTGGAACGAAGTGTAATTAGTAAATTAGGTTTTGTGACAACATTCCAACGTAGTTTGCCATGTTGTCGTGCTCCTGTGCGATTTTCGGAATTCAAGAATTAAGTTGCTAACGCTTGACATTTTCATTCGGTTATCAAAGTGAAACAGCAAATAATATTCTTCTCTAAAACTGACAAGTCGTGGAAATATGGGATTCGTAATACATGGTAAACATTTCGAATTGTGTGCTGTATAGATTTCTTCTTCGCATCTTTTAAAGTAAAACCCTGAACATTGGGAAAACAAGTTGACCAAGAAGTAGATATGATTGGAAGCATTAGAAAAAAGTTTCGTCTTATCTATCAGTTCTGTCTACAGTTTGCGCATTCCAGCTTCACACCGTTGCGTGTTGCTGTGGTGACATGTCGTGAGACGTCTCCAGAGACTGTCCTGCCCACAGTACCGATGAACGACTATATCGGTTCCGCTAACCATGTTCAGGTTCGTTTCCGTCAAACCTAAATCATGTGCATCATGAGCATAAAAATTCGTGACTTGTGAAACCTACTGATATTTCCTTTCAACGATGCGGAAATTCAAGACTGAGAGACAATACAGTTTAATTTATTCCTATATCAGATTATTTAACCTGCTATGATCACATTCCTCTAGAAGTTTGCAAACGGTTCTATGTTACAACAAGCACAATTTTACTATATCAGTGGTCAATTGCGTGAGGAACGCAGCATTTTTGATGCCACCACGAAATGTGGAAGCAAATTTAGTCTATTTATTGAAAAAGCACATGAATCACCTTACTCACCTGTAGCGCAGTTGGTCATCGAAGGACTCCAACAGGCACTGTTATGTTCATACTCGCCATCGCCGTATAAAAGAGCTCTGCCAATGGGCTACTGTCTCCGACGAATGTAAATGGCATCGCACACTTCCACATTCCAGCCCACCTCACAAACACCCAAATGTTCCTGGAACGTCTACGTAACGCGTCCCCCAATAACGCGTACGTGATGGAGTCTTTCGACGTTACCGCACTCTACACCAACGTATCGAATGACTCCGCAATGCAAGCCATCTTCGAACTTCTTGTTGAACATGAAGGAAGAATAAATATGCATGGCTTGTCCATCCAGCAGCTAATGGCTCTCTTAAAGGAGTGCCTAAACTGCTCGATCTTCAGATGGTCTGGGAAATATTTCGCGCAAATAAGGGGGTTGGCAATGGGACAGCGATTGGCACCAAGCCTGGCCATTGTGTTTATGTCTAAGATAGAAGCCCCTGTTCTCGATCTCCGGCCACTACTCTACTGCAGATATGTAGATGATTGTTTTGTCGTCTTCTCTACGCAGGAGGAGATGGACAAATGCTTCGAATTATTAAACGAGCAGTCCGAGTACATAAAGTTCACCCGGGAGAAACCGAGAGAAAACTGGCTTCCGTTTTTGGACGTCCAAATAAACCTATCAAGTAGCGGTTACCTGACAAAGTGGTATCGAAAGCCAAGTAACAAGAACATCCTTGTCCATTTCCTTTCTTCCCACCCTTCACACACAAAGAGGGCGATTGTGAGAAACATGTTTCGAACAGCCACCTCTGTGTGCACTACCAGGGAACTAAAGGAAGAATCGCGCGACTTGGCCCGGCAAATAGCCACCTCCAATGGCTACGAAATAGTAACCCCACGAGATAAGTTTACAAGGAGAACGACGCGCCCACGCGAAACGCTTGGCCAAAACAAAATCCCGTTTATGTTGCCTTTTATAAGCGATGAAGTAAGCGCAGCTATAAAACGATGCTTAAGAAGGGCAGATCTAGAGGAATCGGTAGCGATAGTTGAAATACCACCGACTACTCTACGTCGCCAATTAGTTCGCAACCGCCTGTATGACCGTCTGTGTGAAACAACAAATTGCGTAATTTGCCCTTACGGCAGGGACGGGGATTGCATGAGTT